ATGAACTTCGGGACTTTCAAGGACTACACAGCTCATCAAGAACAACTGTCAGAGAGGTATTGGCAATTACCCTGTTTATCTTATCCCAAAATGAATATATTAAATGAGCTATGGAGTGATTCCAACATACCTTGGAAACCATTAGTAGATATTTTTTCGTGGGTTTGAATGCGCTGGTCAGTTTGGCATACATGATAGAAAAGCCCGAGGATCCAACATTCCAGACCATTCCCACACAAATTGCAAATGACCCTCGATGCATGCCCTTCTTCAAGGTAAGTGCCCAACATAATATTCATTTTCAAGAAAAAAATATATTGATTTTAAATGGTTCGGGGGTACTTTCTGCACCACAGGACTGTATTGGAACTATTCACGGAACACACGTCGATGCACAGATGTCTCCTGCAGAGAAAGTCGCTTACATCAGGCTGTGTGGATCCCCAACACAAAATGTTATGGTCGTGTGTGATTTCAATATGTGTTTTACTTTTATGATGGCTGGATGGGAAGATAGCGCACACGATGAGTGTGTTTTCAAGTTTGTTACTATAAACCGAGCATATGGTTTCCCTTACACTCCTCTAAGTATGTATATTTGAGAAATTAATTTTATTTTGAACTTTCATTTATAATAAACATCACGCAACATGTAAGTACTACTTGGTCGACGCCAGATATCTCTTACAAAGGGGATTTCTTAAGCCGTATCCAGATACAAAATATCATATCCCAAATTTTGAAAGGTAAAACGGTGTAGCACGTGGGAAGAAAGAATTATTCAATAAAAGGCATTCATCATTGCAAGGCGTAATCGAACGATCATTTAGAGTGTGGAAGAAGAAATGGGTTATATTGCGTGATATGCTTACTTATCCATTTCCGAAGCAGGTCCAGATAGTAGTGGCCACCATAGCTCTACACAACTTTATTAGAATTCATCCTTCAAGAACTGATGCAGAATTTGCCGTGGTTGATGCGAATTTACAGCAAATTACCCCTGAAGTATACGAGTACCATGTGGGCCACACCATACCACAGGTTGAAATGGATTCACTTGAAACAAACACCAGAGATGGTGAATGGGCATCTGAAATGGTAGCTTTGAGAGACCGAATAACATACGACATTAGCGAAACATGTTAAGTAATTATTTTAAAGTTTGGCTAAACAATTACGAATGCTTCCTTATTTGAGGGTTTTTTGTAAGGACAATCTGTTGGCAGTAAGCAGTTTTTTTATCATTGTTTTCTTCTCTCCGCTGTTATGAAAAAACTGAAGAATCAGTTTGCCTCGGACAATGAAAATATTGCCTCATCGGGATAGAATATTTCTGGCAATGAAGTTAGTGTTCTTTATTATTTTTTTTTTACTTTTCGGGATGGCCATGATGGGTTATTTCATCGTATTCTTTCCAATTTTGATAGTGCGAATGAGAGGCTTATTACTCAATTCACCTGCAGTTTTCATTCTGTATCACACATACATTATTATAACATGGAATGAGGTTAATTGCAGAGGTAATGTCTACAATGTTGGGCATTATTTTAGTGCTAAGAATGTGAGGTTAATTGCAGGGGCAATTCTATATTCACCTGCAATTACATAGCTATTTTTGGCAATTTTATGTTCACCTGCTTTGAATTATTTAATATGGAAGGCTTGAATGACATTAGTATGAAAGGTGTTATGCTATTATGGCATTATAATGAAAGGTGTTATTCTATTATGGTATTATAGAACATATTCTTTTCATAGTAATTTGAATGGCTTATGTGTCAAAGTGAAGCAGCAAGCAGTGATATGTAATTGACCAGGTCCTTGCTCTTATCTTATAAAAATATGGGTTCTTGCATGGAAATCATTGCAGGTATTATCTTAACAGTTAGCTGGAGACAATTCCTTTGTTCTGTTAATAGTTTCTGTCAAAGTGATAGTTATATGGTTATGTGGATTAATGTGGTCCGAGTATGTCTTTTGTTCTGATGTCTTCATTATCGTTTCTGTCAAAGTGATGGTTATAAGGATTAGTGTAGTACGAGCAGAGTTCAAGATGGATAGAAGTGGTATGTATTGCATGAGTCATTGTTGGTAAAGAATTTATGATGAAGAATTTATAGTATTTCCAACTGAAATAATATCTGAAGGTTCAATTTCATAACTGAAAGTTTGTTTTTTACATTTCTTACGTGGGCAAAATTTATAGCAGCTTGGATGGCCCAATTCTTTAAGGGCAATCACTGTTATATATCTGGAATCTATTCTTGCACTTCAAAGTATCATATATATTTCTTTTTAATGAAAATGAAAGGTATCTTGGAGCTACTCAAATCCATTTTCTGAAGAACTTATAAATACATTTCTGATTCTGCATGTGAAATGCATAGTGAGATTTTTTGTCTTCTAATTTCATTTTTATGCAATTGCTGCAAAGTTTGTCACATATATATATATATATA